CAGAGAGAGAGAGAGGGGGGGGGGTAGAGTAAGAGACTGAGTGCGAGAGACAGAGAGAGAAAGAGTGCGAGAGCGAACGAGCGACAGAGCGAGGGGGCGAGATAGATAGACATGCAGAGAGCGAGAGAGAGATAGGGAGACAGGAAGGGTGGGAGAGAGCGAGAGGGAGGGCGAGAGAGAGCGCGCGCGAGAGAAAGATAATTAGATCGTATCGAGCGAAGGAGAGAGAGAAAGAGACAGCGAGACAGCGCGAGAGACTGAGAGCGCGAGAGCACGAGATCGAGAGGAAGGGAGAGCCAGAGCAAGAGAGAGCCAGAGCAAGAGAGAGAAAGAGAGAAAGAGAGAAAGAGAGAGAGAGATAGATAGATAGATAGATAGATAGATAGATAGATAGATAGATAGATAGATAGATAGAAAGAAAGTGAGCGCGCGAGAGAGAGAGAGGGGGGGGGGTAGATAAAACTGCACATACATTATTGTCAGTCGCAACTGATCCGTCATTCGCCTTTCATTATAGAATTTTATATTGATTTCATGGAGATAAAATATTTTTCCAGTGCAATCGCCGCGCCGTAACCGGATAAACATACGGAGGACACGGAGAATCGACACCTTTTCAAGACAACATCGAGCAGCGAGCGATTCAGTGGTTACCGGTCTCCAGTTACACATGCTCCACGAAGTGCGCACGTACGGGCTATACGTACCCGTCTGATGCGATCTGTGTTTGGAGATACTATTCGTACTGATTTCATCACGTAAAGTAAAACGACTTCTTGTAGACAGCTCCACGACATTTCGTCAGTTCAGGGATATTGACAAGTTGTATTCTCTTAGAGAGATATGCCATTCGTGAAGAGCTATGATAAACGCGTTGTTAATTAGCTATATTCTCTTTACAAACATTTTACATACATGATATATTTCTTATTATATTTATTTTATTGATTCTATTTTTTTTCTATTATGTTATTGATTCTATTTTTATTATTTAAACATTATCAAGAGTAAGATAATAACCCATGGGAATTATTATCTTACTCTTGACATTATTAAAGGATATATTGGCTAATTACGCATCATAGAATCATGAACGCGTGATTAAAAGCTTTGAGTAAAACCACCAATTTATATCAATTGCAAATGGAACTTTAAAATAAAAATAGTGGTTGTAAAACGTATTTGGCCTTATGGTAAAAAAATTCATCGGTCAACCTTCTATAAACGAATGTCCTTACAAATTTCATATATAAATAATATATTTGGTCGGTTTAATATTCCTCGGTCACTGGTAAGTCATTTTTCTGAACATGTGCTCTCACACGTTCCCCGTGATTGTTCGCGTATGATTTGTACGCCTGCGGGCCACTGTCAGACCAGGGCATTTGCAAAAGAATTTACTTCAGATGTTCCTGACAACGGTCCCATTATTATGAACTCACGTTATTATATTCATTAGTACATATATTACAATTACGTATATTGAAGTCCACACGTGTGTGTATTACCAATTTACCACATGCTTTCACGATTGAAATACTTTTTAATAAATATACGCTTAACAAAAATTTTCGAGGTACT